GAAAGGGCTGTTTGGGGGGGGGGGGACTACAGTGTGTTGTAGTTTCTAGCTCAAAACCTTGAAATCAATCGCAATATTAGCAACTGGCTAATCAAACTACCATTGCTTTGCTTTGTTTCAGGGAAACCTTGTGGATTTTCTGAAGCTAACAGGATGGCGAGGATCCAAGGTGTTCTATTTTGGAGATCATCTCTACAGTGACTTGGCAGTGAGTGATCGTCACGCTTCTGTTTTGTTCACATTTGTTGCGCAAACGTCTCTTCCTTATGTTTTTACTTCTTCAGAAACAGTGGAAGTAAATCTCACTCTATCATTTCATAATCACCGGTTTCCAGAGTCAAACAGTAACAATGATTGTAAAAAGGTTCTTGAAGTGTACTATAGTCTAAACATCCTGTGTCCTGGCATTTTAGGACCTGATGCTGCGTCATGGGTGGAGGACAGGCGCGATCGTGCCTGAACTTGAGGTGGAGACGAAGGTGGTGAACACAGACCAGTACGCTCAAAGTCTCACGTGGTTGCAGGCGCTCACCGGACTGCTGGAGCGCATGCAGGTACGCATTGTGGTTCTGAACTCCACCAACACTCTTCCTGTTTAGAATAGAAAAATATTTATCCTGATAAATGTCTACTTTTTATTAACTTTCACATTAAAGTAAAAACAAAAGCCATTTTAATTAATCAGACTTTCTTTGTTTTTGTTTTTTAACTTAAAAAAATGTATATCTGTAAGCGAGTTTCTAGAGAGCAAATGAGAGCAAAATAAACATCTGCATTACATGTGATTCTGCAGTATATGGATGCATAGGAATGACCTCATAGGTTTGGCAGAGGTCCATTCGCTTTATATTGATCTGAATTGATTGTTCTGAATGTTCGTTTCCAAAGTTAGATTCTCTATGTAAGAAAAGCTTGGTGTGATCGGTTTTTCTGTTTGTATAATCCAGAATGCATTCAACCTCATATTCTGTCAAAGTTTTGGGTGATAATTGTTTTAAATGGTGCTACACTAAAATTTACATTTTAAATGTATAAGGCTTTAAATGTTTATAGCCTCTCAAAATGCTATAGAATCGTTTGGGTTTTGGATTAAAGGGAATACAATTTTTAATTTAAACAGACACTGTTACTATAAAGTCTGTATCCTCTGAAGTGATCCGTTTTTGATGCTCACCAAGGTTGCCTTTGTTTGATATAAAAAAAAAAAACAGATACAGGAAAATGTGATGTTATGAAAAATTACAATTTCAGACTGTTTTCTATTTGAATATAATTTAAAATGTGATTTATTCCTGTGATTGTAAAGCTGAATTTTCAATTCAATTTTATGCTTTAATATGCTAATTGCCTGCTTAGGAAACATTTCTTATTATTAATGTTTAAAACGGTTGTGCTGCTTTTTATTTTTGTAAAAAAAAAAAATTTTCTTACAAAAAAAAAAAAATCTTACCGACCGTAAAACCTTTGAACGATAGTGTTTATATTATTATACTGTATATATATATTTTTATGGCTACTATAAAGGTCTATGATGTCTTTTGTATCATCTTAAGGTAATCTTCCAAAAGTTTTCCCTATTGATTTGAAGAAAAAACTCTCTTTAGACAACTGACTTATTTACGTCTTGGTTTTCAGATGCATCGGGATCCTGAGTCCAAGAAGGTTCTGCAGGAGTGGCTGAAAGAGAGAGAGGAGCTACGGTGAGTGAAGCAAGACAAAAAGACAAAAAGCTCACTAGATGAACAGATCAAGAACTAAAGCCATTGTAACACATCTTCCAATTTCCTTTTACAGGGCAGTCACCAAGAACCTCTTCAACCCTCACTTTGGCAGCATATTCCGTACCTGCCACAACCCCACCTATTTTTCCCGCCGCCTGTGCCGTTTCTCAGACCTCTACATGGCCTCTATCAGCTGCCTGCTGAACTATGACCTCTCATACACCTTTTACCCTCGCCGAACGCCCCTGCAGCACGAAGCCCCCCTCTGGATGGACCAGCTCTGCACTGGTTGCATGAAGACGCCCTTCTTAGAAGAGATGGCCCATATTCGTTAAAACCACCAAAGGTTTAATGTGCAAATATGAACAGAAAAGTGAAATGAGGGGGGTGTGTGTCTCTGGCATTGGAGACGTGGCACTTTTTGCGGGAACACCACATACAGCGGGGCCACCTGCTGGATGTTATGTTACAATGCATCTCAATGTTCTCAAGCCTTGGACATTGAATGAAAGGCTTGCTGATGAACATCCTTATGTTCTTATCTCTAACTTTTTTACATTTGATGCTCTTGCATTATGTGTTACTAAACATAGTTAGATGTTAAGTGGTTTACAGTTCTCTTTTTCTTTTTTTTTTTTTTTTGGTTTTGTAAACCTGTATGTCACGAGTTTTGTAGTTGCAACAGGGTGATGTTTGTATTAACATTAATCATGATAGCAGGAAGAATGAAATATACTATACTTGGGGTAGCCAGACATTGGTAGGCCAAAGTATTGAACCGCTGGCCAAAAAAATGCACAGTTATGAGTTACAAATACAGTAGGTCTGATTACATGTACGATTAGGTCAAATAGCTTCATAGATTTGGAGTTGTTATGTTACTTACCTTCCCCACACTATGGTAATAATGTAGCCTAGCCTCAAAGTTTAAACATGCACAAATAATACCAGTCTCGACAGCTTTTTATTACTAGAGAAATTATTTTTTTATGACAGCTGTATTTACATACATGGAAGCTCTTGGAGGGCCAAACCAAATGCTGTTGTTATTTTTGACCTTGCAGGCCCTCACTGTTTGTGGCTTTAGACTTAGCTTCTGTACAATCAGAGCATTGTTTGTTTTACAGTTAAATCTGTGAATAGCTATGCTGCTAAATTCAGTTTTCCAGGAACAAGAAAGATGTCATCTTTTGTATGTACTTGCTCTACAATTTATAAAATCGAATAAAAGGATATGCATTATTATGTTGTGTTGGTTCTTTTATCTTTAAGTGATGAATCATAACACACAGATCTTAAAAGTTGATTACCAATTTAATTGATCAAAAACGCAGTAAAAAAAAAGTAATATTGTGAAATTACCACAATAACGGTTTTCTATGTATATGTAGGCTGATTTATTCATGTGATAGGAAATATACATTTTCAACAGCCATTACTCCAGTGTTCAGTGTCACACGATCTTTCAGAAATCATTCTAATATGCTGATTTGGTGCTCAGGAAACATTTCTTATTATTGTCAAACGGCTTAATATTTTTGAGGAAACTTTGATACATTGTCATTCCGAAGTTTGGGAATTTTTAAGAAATTTGATGCTTTTATTCAGCAAAGAGATTAAATGGATCAAACTTGATAGTAAAGTCCTTTATAATGTTACAACATGTTTCTATTTAAATACATGCTTTTCTTTTAAAGTTCTTTTTTAACGTTTTTAAAGTTGATCAAAGAATCCTAAAAAAGTGTCAATATATTCACAAATTCATCGACGAGCTGCAGTGTAGCATATATTCCTATAACGTTACATGCATACAGTCTGCTATACAGACTGAAATCTATTCCGTTTAATTATATGGTCTAAATCTGCCGTGTTTGCGCAGCTGCCGATTAGCTCGCCGTGATCGTATAGTGGTTAGTACTCTGCGTTGTGGCCGCAGCAACCCCGGTTCGAATCCGGGTCACGGCAATAGCATAAGACAAAGCTAGCGTTTTTGTTTGCAATGTTTGATAAAACGCCTACTACTGCTTCATGATGTAATTCATAAACACACATCTTTGTGTAGTTTTATTTGCTTATAAAAAATGCCTGACAATATTTTATTAATAATCATATAGCTACTATTTGTCATCGTTGAATGTAAGAATTATTTTTAAAAATCCCTTTAAATTACTGCATCTGTCTGACCATAAATCATCATAGGATTTCTTTTTCTTTTTGTTGTACGTGGATCATACATTCCCTGGTGAATCCAATGATGTAATGCCAATGTGGCGTCATATCCTGTTGTTTAAAACTGGTCCGATGTCATGTAGCAAACGTAATGCCTTCTTACCTACGTCGTGTGTAATATTGATCTAAATGGACGAAACACTGATTCTCTGAATCAATCATACCCGAACTGTCATTAAAATACTTTCAAACTTCACTTTAAGACGCGAAAGCCTTTTTCTGTCTTGCACCAGGGCTTTTATTTTGAAACGTGTCAGCAGGATATTGGTTGTTTTTCAGTCTCTTGTTAACGGAACTTTCATTGAACCTGCCGAGCAGTAAGAGAGTGGCAAACGGGTACCCGCAACCATTGTTATTTTACTTTAAATTTTTCTACTGCATGATGACAACGCATCTCTGAACGGGACCCCCAAAGCGGACTACCCACCATGTCGGCTGAGGAGGAGAGGGGGGTAGTTCGTGTTAAGGTCAAGGTGAGAAATTGTGGGGACCGAGCGGCAGGTACAAACCCTAATCACACACACTCAGCAACACAGCGGGATGGAAACACAATAACACACAGCAATCCACGTAACGTTAGTCCAGCCAGGCCAGGAGACGGTGTCTGGTGTCGTGTCTGTGTCGAGGAGCTGGTCTTCATGTGCATCGCTTGACTTCGCTGGCATCTTTGTTGTTTACAAATCGTGATCTTAATCATTCGTTTACAGGGCACACGTGCATTATTTAAGGGTGTGTAATAGATGTATTGCTTTAATCCTTATATGACTTACTTTTTGTAGAAATATATGTATTTGTTGTTCAATTTAATATGTTTTAGTTAGTCTTGTTGTTCGTGTTATGTAGTTGTTCGACATTTACACGTTGATCATATACAAATTGGTCGTTATCATTCTGTGTTATAATAATAATGTTTCTGTGTGTATATTTATTTGTGAAGCCACGTCGTAAAGAGAAAAACTCACACAAATATGTACCGCTGACCTGATAGTGAGTCATGTTTGCTCTCGAGTGTCACATGATCAACCTGCCATGAATTCCCTCGCTTGTTTTTCAGTCATTTCTCAGGTGTACAGACTGCTTTAATGAATACGAAAAGCAGTGTATCCTCTTTTTGAAAGCCATGTAAGTATTATTTCAGATCTAGGCCTAAGAGATCCGCCTAAATGATTAAATGCACTTAGCATGTTGGCCCATTTTAAAATGGAGCGGTTTTGCACCTCTGTTTCATTAAAGGGGTCCTATTATGCTTTTTCACTTTTTCAACTTTAGTAAGTCTGTAATGTTGCTGTTTGAGCATAAAAAAGATCTGCAAAGTTCAAAGTCCACTTACAGTTAATAAGATTATGTGATATGAGATTGTTCTGTAACTCCCCAACCGGACAATGGCCTCCTTTTTAGTTACACCCAGCGTCGCTACCCGCTCCTACCCTACGAATTTCGAGCCCCGGGACGCCCCCGTTGCTTAGAACAAAGCGATAGAGTGAAATCTTTCCCCTGCAGTGCGCTGGGACGGCTCGCGGGAGAGCTCGTGGGTGATTCCCGTTTATATCATTAAGCAGGGTTCAAACTCCAGTCTGAACACCACTGGCCACAAGCTTTGGGCTCTGCTCTCATGGAGAATATTTACTTATATAGCATATTTTATTTTAGAACTTTCTAGATGAACTAGAAACAATGTTACATTTATAAAGTTTTATTTTGAAATGTAAGTCAATAACAATTGGCTGGAGCCAGAGCCAATGGTCAAAGTCTTTGCGAGAGGAGACCCCGCCCCATTTTGGAGGTTCTGCCCACTTTTGGAGTTCACGCCCCATTTTGGAGATCTCCGGTCTGAACCTAGTATGAGATCCTGTTCTAGTACACCCCCCAAAACAAAATCAAGACTTTGTAAAAGAGCATAATAGGACCCCTTTAAGTCTCTTTGGCCAAAAAACTTTGGTCAATGAATTTGTTTAATCACAGTGAACTTTTGATTAATCAGTAAACTACACTGCCATGACGCTAATTTTTCAGTCAACTCTGTCACAAAGCTTGTAAATAAATCATTTGTCATTTTTAGATAATTTTCAGAAAAGTGACCAACAAAATGTTATTTGATGTATATGAAATGTAAAATATGGTTAAGTCAGCATTTTCAAGATTTTCTGTGTCTGACTGTGTGAATAGTTGAAAATATGGATCTGCAAAAATCAGTTTGAAACCACCCTGTATCTAAATTCATTAGTTCATGGAAGTGAATACTAGATTTGTCATGATTTATGCCACATAGCTTTTGTTTCTCACAGTGATGATCCCTAATGAAACAGTGTTATTATTAACTAAAACTATTCATTTTAATTAACTAAAAGCTAAAGTTACACAAAATGTAATTATTAGATGAAAACAACTTTAATGTTAAAGTTTAACTGAAATAAGTTTAAGTACTAAAATTACTAAAACTGAAATAAACGTAAATTAAGGCTTAAAAACTAATAAAATTGACAAAAAACATACAAAATAAAAAAAACTGAATATATAAAAATTAAAGAATTCAAAATATTAATAAATGCTATGATGGTAAATAATAAATACTGAAATAACAAGTAAACCACATTTTGGCAAGGGAGAAAAAAGCTGGAGACACACCTACACATGAGTGAATATTTTGATACTATTTAAATTATTCCTTGAATAAGTTTCATATCTTGTTTTGTCCCAGCACCCAAGAATCAGTAACAAATGGCAACCGTAGTCACAAAGTTTTGAACAATAAATGAATTTAGGTTCAGTGTGAACCTTGACAGATGTGTGCTGCAGTGTGGTCTGCTTGGGACAGATGACCTTGTAGTGCTGTGTTTTGCAGGTGTTTTAGCATGTGTTGGTAAAGTTCAAGTAATCTTTACAGCCAGAGTCTGTTTCCCATGCTTGGTTGCAACATCAACAGAGACTCAACAGGCAGTAAATCCTCCTGAATAAATAATGTCACCTGATTAGGTAATTTGCATTTCAGAGGATGGAGTGATTAGCCTTTCAGAATAATTAACAAAGTAGGGTTATGTAAAATAGGCATTTTTACCAGTTTTCTTTTTTTCTAAAATTGTTCCTTTAAAATCTGTCTGTTTGCAGAAGTGTGAAGGGGTGTTGCCGGTGGAGTTCCGCTCCTTTGCTGTTGATCCTCAAATAACCTCACTGGAGGTGTTGCAGCATATCTTGATACGAGCATTTGAGCTGAATGGGTGAGTGTGAAATTGTGAAATATATTTGTCTTGTGCCAATTCTCATTTAGATCTATTGTTAAAATATACAGTTGTAACCCTATTTTTGTGATTGTTTAATAGCAATGATAGGTAAATGAACTGCAGCAAACATAGATGCAGTCTTTATTTCCTTGTTTCTCTGTAGGAAACGCAACTTTGGGATAAGTTACCTGTCCCGTGACCGCGGAGGTGTGGAGGTCTACGTGTCTCTGCTGTCTGACTGGGATTTAGATGCAGCATTTGTCAGTGCGGCAAAGCCTTTCCTCCAACTCAAGATGGACATTAAACCATCAGAGGACAGTGAGTGAACTCCATATCCTTCTATTTGGAGGGTATTACATGTATGTCAAACTCAGTAGATCCTTAAAATCTTTGAATGCTCTGTCTCCTTTATGATTTCTAGAATTTATTTCTCATTCATTCACTACCCACAAATCAATAATCAATCAATAAATAAAAAACTTTGTTTTTGGGTAGTTGCTGTTTAGTTCAAATGATTGTGTATTTTCCTGGGAATATGTACATTTTTCCACTGTTTGTTGTTTTGTAGAGTCTACATAGTGTCTTTATTGGGTAGAATTATTATTTTACAAACATGCATTTACCTGTAAATAATCTCTTTAATGATTTCCCCCATGTTCTTCCTAAGGTCCTGTTTTGGAGGATTGGGACATAATCAGCCCTAAGGATGTGATTGGCTCAGACCAGCTGCAGGGAGAGAAGAGGTCGTTGGCTTCTGCCGCACTTCCTTTCACACAGTCGCTACTGTCCCAGGTTACTTATGATGTTCTTCTTCACCCTGTCAGCCAGCTGTTTTACCAGCCAGTGTCTGCTGCAGTCAGTCAGGTTCACAGTCTACTGCCTTTTTACTGTAATTAATGGCATTTACCCTTAAACAATTGAAGTCATTAGATATTTCAGGAGTCCTTGAAGGCGAGAGCACTTTTGCTCTTGTAAGAAGCAGCTATGTGCTTCTTTTGTGCTGACAAACTGATATATTAATTTGAAGATAGAGGGAATATTTTCTGCCTCTCACTGATAGCTAATTAATCATGGTCCAGATAGGAATTATTCTTTCCGCCTGTCTTCCACCTAATACCATAGATTTTGTTAGAAATCTATATAAATAGTAAACATTCCTGTCTACTTTGTACCTTCCTCCACATTCAGGTGGGTCGCACTCTATCGCGTGTGCAGCAGGCCTTGAGTTGGTCCTATGGGGAGGAGGTGAAACCATTCAAGCCTCCCTTAAGTGATGCTGAGTTCCACAGTTACCTGACTAGCCAAGGTCAACTGACCCGACCAGAGGATCTTAGACTTCGTATATATCATGGTGGGGTTGAGCCATCCTTACGCAAGGTAACCAGACTGCTTTGACATTTTTAAACTAATTTACCTAATTAAAGGGTATTATATTACTTTCTATATCTAATTTTTTCATCTCTGAATACAAAATATTATAGTTAATGATTGAGATATATATATATATAATTTGTATTTAGACCTAGAAATATATATTTTAAATATATTACATATATTAACATATTTAAAAATGCTTTTTAAAGAGTATGATGTGGCAAGCAGTACTCTTTTTACCTGACTTTTTCCTCTGTATTTTTGTGACAGGTTGTTTGGCGATACCTCCTTAATGTGTACCCAGATGGTCTGACAGGACAAGAGAGAATGGACTACATGAAGAGAAAGACAAGAGAGTACGACCAGCTGAAGAGCGAATGGACAGAACGGGTCAGCGCAGAGGACCTGGAGTTCATCAGGGGAAACGTTCTGAAAGATGTTCTTCGAACAGACCGAGCACATCCTTACTACGCAGGATCAGAGGACAGCCCACATCTCACCGCATTGACAGACCTTCTCACCACCTTTGCTATTACACACCCACAGGTAAACACGCAGTAATCCCATTTGATAACACTAGGATGTGCCTTTACCTCTGTGGGAAATAAACTGTCCTTGTTTGCTTTTACAGGTGTCTTATTGCCAAGGCATGAGCGACATTGCCTCGCCAATTCTAGCTGTCATGGACAACGAAGCTCATGCCTTTATCTGCTTCTGTGGCATTATGAAACGTCTTGAGGGCAACTTCCGCCCTGACGGACAACTAATGTCCATTAAGTTCCAGCATCTCAAGTTGCTATTGCAGTATTCAGACCCTGAGTTTTATGCCTACCTTATCTCAAAAGGTGCCGACGATCTGTTTTTCTGTTACCGCTGGCTGCTTTTGGAGCTGAAGCGGGAATTCGCTTTTGATGATGCCCTGAGAATGCTTGAGGTCACCTGGAGCTCCTTGCCACCTGATCCACCTGAGACAGAGGTGGAGCTTCTGGGGCCAACACTTGAGGCAGATCAGTCCAATGGCTCACAGAATGTCCATCAGAATGTGGACATGGAGGAGATTGATGAGAAGCAGACGGAAAGGCAGAGGAGACGTCACATGCTAAGACCGTCCCGAGAGGAGGCAGATGGGGGACGTAGCCTCATCGTAGAGGAGGAGAAGGGCCCTCGGAAGGAAGGTGAAGGAGAGTACGGTGTAGATGACATGGTCAAGAATGATGTCACAGCTCCTGCTCCCTCATTTGAGAAACAGGCAAGTTTTGGGGAATTCAAGTACTATAGTTGCCGAAGCGAGGACAGCTTTGATATTAATGAAAACGATTGCTCTGATCCTACAGTATCTCCAGAACAGTTTCAGTCTGCACACTCCACGTTGCCATTCTCTGTCCGCCAGTCCACAGAGGAAAGTGAGGATGACCCTGGAGAGCAGGAACCTCTTATCAGTAATCATACGCCGTCTTCTCCAGGACAAAGAGACTCTCCCAATGGTCAAGCAGCTTCCCCAGCATCATCTCTTCCTTCTGGTCTACCAAATTGGAAGAGTAGCTCTAATCATTCCCCGGAAGCATCTAATTCTCCATCTAGCTGGAGAACGGCATCTCCCGATGACCTTTCAAAATGCACATCCTCTTCGTCTAGTGGGGACAAAGCTGTGTCTCCTGATAAACCTCCTGGGGGGTTCATGTCCTCACAAGCTGTAATGAACGAAACTGGGGCTCAATCCCCATCAGTGGTCCCAGGGAAATCTTTACTGGCATCTCCATCGCAGAGTTACAATCGTTCGCGTCTCTCTTCTCCGGTTTTATCCTTCGGCAAGTCCCCGTCATTGCCCAAAGCGTTCTCCAGCAATCTTCCCTCGCCATGCAGGCCCACCGGGTCTGGCATAACCTCTCCAAACACAAACAAACCAGAAGGAGGCGGAATTAAACCCTGCTCGCTTCCTCCTCCTCAAGAGTTTGGGAAAGGGAATCCCTTCATGCTTTTCCTTTGCCTGTCTATCCTGCTGGAACACCGTGACCACATTGTCAAAAACAGCCTGGATTACAATGAGCTGGCCATGCACTTTGACCGCCTGGTCCGTCGCCACAATCTTGGGCGTATTCTGCAGCGAGCTAAAGCCCTCTTTGCAGACTACCTGCAGAGTGAGGTATGGGACTCGGAGGAAGGGGATGAAGTCAGCTTGGACTCCCCAACTACAGCGACAACATCCCCCCAGACACCCACCACTAGACCTCCTTTCCTCAATGTACAGCCCTCTCAGGGTACCTTACCGAATTCGCCCTATAATTTGGCCAGTACCATTCCCTCTCCAACAACTCCTGTTGCCCTCTCTCTATCTGATTCCTGATCCTGTGCAGTAGTAGATTATCTCTAGAAACCAGCTCCGGACCACAAACAGACCCATAAGCCAGTTTTACTGTACCTTGCAGAGTCACAGCGTACCTTTGTGCTTTACACATGCTTAATGAGACTTGTGTTGTTTTATGTTAATGACCAAAGCTTAGTGACTTTCTCATGTCTCTTTTTCCCTGTCCATCAAGTCAAGCCCCTTTCATTGTACTGTATCTTTTTTATTGCACTTTATTGATTGTCCTTTGAAAGGGCAGGCCAGTTTGTGTCTCATTTCACTTTGTAAATAACACTTTTGAAAGGCACATTATGGACACGTAAAATCTGTTATAGGAACCTAATTTACCTAAAACAAAGCAACAAGATTATACTGTTATTTATTTCTCTGTGTGCAATCTTTATTTTGGCGAAAAGGATGTCATCAGCATTTTCTGAGGTTATCATGCCTCTGTTGTTGTAGGGAGGAGATTGTTTACTCAAGTAAAGCTTTTGAGACGCTCCCTGAAATGTATCATTAATTTGTTTGACATTGCCAGCAGCAAAGGTGTATTTGTTATACTGATACTTGTCATTTGTGCTTTATAAGAACCTTAAGCCTTGACTTTTGTTTGTATGAAACATTTGGCCCGAGATGGTGCTGATGCGTTATCCAGTATCCCATCAATGTGAAACCTTCTGTTGTAGCATAGGTAACATGCCGCCCAATCTTGAATTGATCTCTGAACTACCAGTAGAAATCCTCTCTAGTGTACAACAGCTATTTGACCTGTCAGCTGTAACTCTACATGCAGTGGATGATTTGGTAAAGCAGCACTCCTACTAAGATAAACATGGAGATGGCTGGTAATTTGGTTTCTATTATCCTCGCCTTTGTTGGAGAAGTGCCTCGTTTCACTGAATTAGGCATTTTTGTCTCTCTCACTTCTGTGTGTAAATATAATTTTTATTGCTTTCATCCTTCCACCAAAGACTTGTCTGTTCATCCGTTGCCATAACAACTTTATCATTAAGAGGCAACAATCAAGGATCACTGCTGTTAAAAAAAAATATCAGAGTATTACAAAAGTGTTTAATGCCTTTAGCAGAATGCATTTCATTGGAGACCTTGTAGACTCATTCTTTGTCTTAATACCAAGTGTTCTTTTCTCTTTTTTTTTCTAAGTGCTAAAATTAGAAACCTCTGCACATGGACTAAAAAAAGGATTTTCCTGGAAAGTGGAACAGTGATGAGTCCTGTTCATCATCATTGTGCATACATGTATGTTTGTTTCTCTGATTTTGGTTTGGTTCTATATGATAGTATTTTACTCATACCCTTGGAGAGACTTGCTAGATTGAATGCTTGCAATACTCCTATTTGTACAATAAATTCACTGAATATTAATTGATCAGTGATCTTTCTTTGCACACAAATAGATTTAATGCAATCCCTGCTGGAAATGCTTCTTAATCTGTTTTGTTTTGTTTTGTTTTGTTTTGCTGGAACGTGGTAGCTGGTTTCTAGCTGGTCTAAGGTGGTAGATCATCTTGGATTAGCAACAAACTCGCAACTGGCTGGTCGAGCTGGTTTTTGAGTATGATGATAGATGGTCACTCGGATAACTGATTACTAAGAGAAAGCTTTTCGCTTTCCTGGCTAATTGGCGTAAGTGGACATGTCATATCGCCTTGATGTGATAGACATTAAATGCCTGCTTAGGCATGAACATTTTTGTTATTTATGAATTTATTATTATGTTGCTTCTTGTAGCACAATAGGCCGTTTGAGTTTTTTGTTGCTGAAAGAAATGTGTAGATTATTGTGCTGGAAATGGCCAGGGAAGTGGTAAGTCTTGGAAGCATTATTGATTGGATGAAAAAAACTGATTTCGTGTAGCTTTGGGATATGTAATCAAGATTGTTACAGAAAAATTAAGGAATTCATAAATTCTCTATGCTAGTGCTTAACACTACGGATGCAATATATTTTTGGCTACGAGTAGATTTCGCGGCGAGGTATTCAAACAGCGGATAGTCATCTGTCAACCATTCGCTGTGAAGGAGAGGAGACGCGTTTTACGATCGGAGATTTCTTCTCAAAATTGTTTTGTTTAAACAACATACACTGTTAAACTACCTCGGCTTTATTAAGTATTACGTAATTGATTTGTTATTTGTCGCAAGAAGTCTTCAGATTTTACCTCAAGATTTTTTATTTTTTTTACCTCAGAGATCAGCGCGATACTCTCATCAAGCAGGTAAAGTGACAGTGATCTTTCTCTGCACACAAATAGATTTAATGCAATCCCTGCTGGAAATGCTTCTTAATCTGTTTTGTTTTGTTTTGCTGGAACGTGGTAGCTGGTTTCTAGCTGGTCTAAGGTGGTAGATCATCTTGGATTAGCGACAAACTCGCAACTGGCTGGTCGAGCTGGTTTTTGAGTATGATGATAGATGGTCACTTGGATAACTGATTACTAAGAGAAAGCTTTTCGCTTTCCTGGCTAATTGGCGTAAGTGGACATGTCATATCGCCTTGATGTGATAGACATTAAATGCCTGCTTAGGCATGAACATTTTTGTTATTTATGAATTTATTATTATGTTCCATCTTGTAGCACAATAGGCCGTTTGAGTTTTTTGTTGCTGAAAGAAATGTGTAGATTATTGTGCTGGAAATGGCCAGGGAAGTGGTAAGTCTTGGAAGCATTATTGATTGGATGAAAAAAACTGATTTCGTGTAGCTTTGGGATATGTAATCAAGATTGTTACAGAAAAATTAAGGAATTCATAAATTCTCTATGCTAGTGCTTAACACTACGGATGCAATATATTTTTGGCTACGAGTAGATTTCGCGGCGAGGTATTCAAACAGCGGATAGTCATCTGTCAACCATTCGCTGTGAAGGAGAGGAGACGCGTTTTACGATCGGAGATTTCTTC